TGCGGCTGCGGTGCCGTCTCTAGCCCCGCCCCTCCCCCCTCCCCCCTCCCCCCTCCCCCCCCACCCCCCCGCACAGAGCCGCGGGGGTGCTGCGTGGGCGTCTCCTCGTCCGCTGACCGCCCGCGGCAGACGCGCCGTCCTCCGGACCCCTGATCACAGCCCGCACGCGGTTAAGCCCGCGCGCCAGTGCACTGCCGGCTGGCCAGCCGGAACAGACCTTGCTAAGCCGCGCCGTCCGTCCTGCAGCTCCCAGGCAGGTGGCCGCCGCCGTGGGCGCCCACGGGGGGACTGTCTCACTGCGTCGACCCCTGGCCGCCCGCACTGACCGCCCGCACTGACCCGTCCCGTCCTCGGGGCTCGTCCCTTCTGCGTCCCACCGGCTGGACATCAGAACCGTCCCCCCACGCGACACTGGCCAGCCTCCCCTCGGCCAGAGCAGGTCCTGTGGCCGCCGACCCGAAGCAGAGGGACAGGGAGGCAGCATCCTCCTCTTCAGTGGGGACCCCCGGTCCCAGGTGCAAGGAGAGTGAAGGGACGGGCCTTGGGGGCCACGCACCGCAGGAGACAAGGTGTGCGCCGGCCTCCATCCCTCGCTCCACTCCACCGGCCCACCCGCCGGCCAGCCTGCTCTCCCCCTTCCGCACCCCTCCCCCTTACCTGGAGAGGTCGTCTGGGAGACGCGCAGAGGTGATGCGTCCACCCAGGACGGGTCTGCACACCCCCCGTGGAGAGGGCGGTGGGCTCTTTCCGGGTCAGTCCCATCGCGGGGCTGTCGGAACAAGCGCGCACCCGAACTCTGCTGGGCTGGCTGGTCCCCAGGGGGCCCCTGCCGTGTGGGAGCGGGCACCGTGGGGCTGACTGCCACCCCTCCCTGCAGCCCTGGTCCTGGGGGGCAGGGGGAGGGTGGAGACAGAGACCAGGAGTCACGGGGCAGCCGTGTGCACGGGGCAGAACGCTAGTCCAGCCAGAGTCTGTGTCAGACGTCAAGACTGCAGGAGGGAGCCCTGGGCTGGGGCCCACGGAGTGGGCTCCGGGCGAATTCTGCACTGGCCCCCCATCCCACCTGGGGCCGCCTCCCCCTGACCACCCCCCCCCCCCCCGGGATTCCTGCAGTGGTGGGACTCACACCCAGGACTGTCTCAGCCACGCCGAGCGGGGCTCTGAGGCCAGCGTCTGCTAAGCATCCCTCACAACCAGACCGTCCCTACCCCCGACCTCAGGACACCCGACCCTCAGGGCAGCAAGACCCCCAGCTCGGAGCCCTAATTATGCGCCCGCCCGTGCCCTCGCTTACCGCCGCACCGGAGGTCAGCGTTGGCCCCTGTGTGCATGCACGCACGTGAGAACTCCAGACCGATCGCCCTCAGAGGAAGGGACCGAGGGCGGAAGTGCAGAGACCGTTGCAGGAGTCCGTGCCAGACCCGCGGGCGGCCTGGCCTGGAGGCGAGGACAGACCGGTGACCGCCTTCTGGATCCATGCCCAACGCAGAGCCATGTGGGTGGGACGTGTGGGTGGTCGGGACGTGGGTGACAGGGAGGAACGTCACAGGTGACCCCGCCTAGGCTGCCGGAAGGGCGCGGTCCCTGTGGGGAGATGGAGACCGCGGGAAGACCGCGTTCTGCGCTCATGGCCCCGGAGAAAACGAAGGATCTTCCTCTGTGCAGCCTGGGCGCGCCGTCTTGCTCAGGACGAACAGCGTGGCGGCCCGGGTCGCCTCTGAGGCGGCCTCACGGCTCTCGCTGCTTCCGCAGCGGACAGGCCCGGCGAGCGGCCGGCTCGGCTGCGGCGGCACCTCTGTCCCAGCGAGCAGTCGGAGCGGGGGCCCGGGGCGGCCTGCTCGCCGCCGCCCTGCACCGCTCCGAGTACGTGACGGCGACGGCATCCAGCACCCGGCGGGTCAGACGCGTCCTCACCAGCCTTTTCCAGAAGTGCCGGGGCCGTCCCCACATGGCGGTTGCCTGTGTCCGCATTAACATCAGTGCGCCCGGCCGTCCCCCCAAACACCCACGGATGTCTGCGTTAGCACCTCGCCAACCAGCCATTTGAGAAAGACCGTCACACCCGGGAGCAGAGCCTGGCTCTCCGTCCGGTTGCGCCCGTGTGGCCTTGACCTCCGGGAGAACACCCACGTCTCCCCACCTTTCGTGTGACCTTGACCCCAGGGTCCTCGGCAGCCTGGTCGTCGTCGGTGAGACGTGGGGTTTTTCACGAGACGGTTTCTCACTAGTGGGGATCGCTGGGAAGAATGGCGTTGGCTTTCAGTGTGTCTTCCGCTCGAGTCCAGCCGCTCCCCTCAGCGTCCTGGGATCCCCGGGCCGTGGGCCCAGGCCCACGAGAGAGGACAGCTCTCATCTTCCTCCGACGTCGGTTTCCGTTAAAGCCTCATGTGTGGTCGGGGAGTCTCGCTCTGCATGCGGGAGCCTCTGGGCCTGTGCACGGGGGGATGGACGGCCAGGGCGCCTCTCTTGCTGGGGGGTGGACGGCCAGGGCACCTCTCTTGGTGGGGGGCGGGGGGTCCACGCCGACGCTCTCAGACCCCGCCCACGTCGCACGTCTGCAGACCGCGTCGCACACACTCGCCATCGTGAGAGTGTCACACTGAGGATGCCCGTCCAGTCCCCGCGCCGCCGGCCCTCTCCGCCCCGGTCTGCCCCGTTTTTACCGGGAGCGGCCGCTGGGTTTTGACAAACGCCTCTTTGCCGCCTGTTGACCTCTGCCCTGTGCCCACGTGAGGAGCCGAAGGGTTTGCTCACTCTTGCGCCTTCTTACACCGGGGATAAACCCTGGTCAGACTCAGTGTGCCGTTTCTGAATACGGTGCTAAATATTTCTGATGTTTTAAAACATTTTTACTGTCTTTACACTCATGTCTGTGCATTGCAGTGGTTTATGTTTTTCCCGTCAGGTGTCTTCTTTGTCACGTCTTCCTGGCAGGGGTTAGGGTGACCGACCACGGATCGGAACTCTGGATGTCCCTTCCCGGGTTCTGGGAGGGTCTGACTGATGTAAAAAGGATCCTTTTTCTTTTCTTTTTCAGGGACATAGCTGGCTCTTCGAGTCACCTAGGCTTGACAGCTTTGCAACGATCGGTGGTCGATCATTTAGCAGCTCCATCAGTGTCTTCTGTCGCCTGTCTGTTCAGGCCTCTGTGGTTCTTAAGTTAAATTTAGAGATCCTTATTTTGCGAGAAAACTATTCCGCGTCCTCTGGAGTTTCTAGCACACTCCCCGAAGCTTGCCCACGCCACTCAGAGTTCTCCCAGGCCTGCAGTTAGAATAATAGGGTTTCCGGTTCGTGCTTTAACGCTTTCCGAGAGCACTCCCCTGCCTCGCCTCCCGTGCATGCGCCGGCCCTGCTCCTGGCCCCAGCGGGGAGCGCGCTGGAGGAGGGGCTGCTCGTGTGGGCTCCCCCTGCGGTGGGAGGCGGGGCCGAGACTCAGACTCAGGCCCCGCCCCCTCTCCCCGCCCCCCATGCTGGACTGGTCCGCCCACGTTCCGCCCGGTTCTGTCCACCCGACGAGTGCATGGAGGGACCTGGGGCGGGACTCTGCGTCCAGAAGCGGCCCTTCTGTGGTCCACATGGCCACGTCCTCGGGGTGGTCAGGGATGCGCCCCTGTGCGTGGCTGTGGGGGGGGGCATCACCAGCTGTTTGAAGCTGCGTCAGATGCATCAGCAACGTCACTTTTGTTTCCTAGAATCAAAAAGAAAGGCAGGTTTTCACCTGGCAAATGGCCCCAAGTGGACATATTTCAAAGCTTCCGTGACCCTTGGGCGGTGCGGGCTGCGGCGGGCTGCGGCATGTGTGGAAGCGTGTGCGTGCACACGTGTGAGGACTGTCCCGCCGTGATCACTGCGCTCTCCCGAGCAGTGCCGTGCTCTGTCCTGGAGCGGCTGGCGTAACGCTCAGCCTGCCTGCTGCGGAACTGCCGGAGCTGCCTCACGACCGAGTTGCAGCATCAGCGGGGGGGTTAGAGGTGGCGGTGCGGTCACGGTCTCGGCACTGTGTCGGAGCATCCTGAGGGCTGGTGCCATGGCCAGTGGGGAAGCCCAGCCCGTCTCAGAACACACCCAGGAGCGGGGTCAGCTGTCGTGCACGGTCACCGTGCACTGTCACCGCTGGGTTCTCACAGAGCCCAGTCTCCCCTTTCAGCCCCCAGCCCAGCCCCATGCCCAGCCCCCAGCTCAGCCCCCAGCCCAGCCCCTGCCCAGCCCTGCCCTCCCTTGAGGTGCCCACCTGCCGATGTGGCAACCACAGGTCCCAGTGGCACATGCATAGATGCCGGGGCTGTGCCCTGGCCCTGCCCGTGCCCCCGGCCTCTGTCTCCTTGCGGGAGGCTGAGGACTCAGAGCTTCAGCCTCCCAAGCCCGACTCCATCATGGGCCTGGTCAGACGCCATCCCTCTCCCTGGCCCCCCAGCACCACGGACAGCGCCACAGGCCCTGATGGCACCTCAGCGGCCACTGCTCCAGAGAGGAGAGGGCTGGCCCCGAACTTGGACCCGCCCAGATTAAATCCCTGCAGGGTGGGGAAAGTTCCAGACTCAGGGAAGGCTCAGCCAAGGGTGGGGCGGCGGCACCCTGCGGTGGCAGCCACCCGCCCACCCTCCTGGTTCCAGCTGCTGCACGTGGCTCCCTGGGGTCTGCATGTGAGTGCAGACCACAGCGGTGGCCCCGCTGAGTCCCTGGCCACGCAGAGCCGGTGCTCGCTGAGCGCGTGTCAGATGAGCCAGGGGACCGGCCGGGCAAGTGGGCGGACGGGGGGCAGAGGGCTCACCCCCCGGGGCCCGGCCCTGCGCCGCGGGACTTGCCCGGGCTCCTGCCTCACAGCAGCTGTGGCCCAGCCCATGTCTGTGTCCGTGTCCGGACGCTGCTCCGACCTGCGGCAGGCCCGCCTGCGTCCCCGGCTCTTCGTCCCCCCGCTGCGGGGGACGGAGCCAGGGCCCAGCGGCGACCTGCCTGTCACGCACTCCACAGACCCCTTCTCCGCTCTCCTTGCCCAGACCGCGTCCGAGTGGGCCGAGAGGATGCCCAGAGGCCCGCCTCCCAAGTCTCCCAAGGAGATGGCGGGCCAAGAGACCCTGGCCCGGCTCCACAAAGCCGTGACCGCCCACTACCAGGCCATCGCCCAGGACTTCGAGAACTTCGACACCTCGAAAGTGAGCACCGTGTCCAGGGACGAGTTCAGGGCCATCTGCACTCGCCACGTGCAAATCCTGACGGACGAGCAGGTGAGCGCACGCGCGTGGCCGGTGCGCGCCCTCAGCACGGCCGCGGGGGCGTCGAGCCGGCCTTCCCCGCGGGGCGACGCAGAGTGTGAGACAGTCCACGGTTTTAAAAATACTGGGAGGGTGTTCTTTTAAGGGGGAGGGGGGGTGTTTTTACTTCAAACGTTACTGAAGACACCCAGGAGCCTCCTGTTTGTGTAAAAGGTACAAATTGCATCATTTCAGCCAGGGTGCAAAAAATACCAGTTTTATTTTTAAAGTCAAATCAAAGTTGGCTCCAGCTGCCTCTGTCCTTCTCCCCGGTACCTGGAGCATCCCTGGGCGTCTGCAGGCCAAAGAGGCCAGCCCCTCCCCTACCGGAGCGGGGCCTGGGGGGCGGGGGCCTGCACGTGGTTCTGCCCCTCCCCAGCGCCCACCCCTGGTCCTGCTTCTGGGGCTTGTTGCTACTGCCCTTGGCATGCTGGTGACATGCCACCCCCAGCTGTCCCCACTGTCCCCAGGCAAGAGAGTGCCACTCCTCTCCTAACCATGAGAAGTGGCCAGACAGCAAGAAGATCACAGCTTTGCTTGAGCTCCTCAGGGAGCTGAGGGTGTGGGGACAGAGACCGGACCTGACGCAGCCGGTGCCCTGCCGTCCCCAGGGGTAGACAGGGTCCGGCGCAGGGTCCTCACCCCCCAACCCCACCCCTGCGAGTCCAGCACCGGTGACCCAATCACCAGAGGGAGCCTCCCTTCACCCCAGAAAGTGCCCTGCCACGGCCCTCGCCAGCTTTCAGACCCATCGATGTACGGTCTTGCAGAGGATGATTCAGGTGACCAGATGAAATCCAAAGTTCTCAGGAAAGCGGCTCCGCCCCCTGCTTCTCCTGGCTCTGCTCAGGCCCCGCCCAGGAGCTCCCTGCAGGGGCGGGCTGGGGGTGGGGCTGGGGGGGGAGGTCACGCTCCTACGAGCTCCAGTCTCATTGGATGCAAGTGTTCACGGGGCGGGGCCAGCATCGCGCCCGCCTCACCCCTGCCTAGGCCAGTGGACTCACCGCCCAAAGACGCTGGCGCGATGCGCACCCGACTTCCCTTCCCTCGAGCATCACCTTCCCTAGGCATCATGGTCACTCCTGCTGAGTGAAATGCCCTTCCCGGGTGACCCTGCTCCTCAGCTCACCGAACGCTGCTGTGATACTGTACACGGGTGGAAGCCTTTAAACTTAATACCGTCACATTTATTATTCTACAGAGCCAACTAATAAAGGTCTCACTAATAAAGGCTTTCCATCTACTCTAAATGAGTAAAAATTTACTCTAATTATAGATATAAATTAATGACGTTCTTTCGTGTCTGGCGTTCAGAGCAGAGGATTTGGATGCTAATTGTCCTCTAAGAAAGCTTTGCCATCCCTGGCACATCAAGCCCCCACCCCCCCCCCACCCCCCCCCCAACAACATCAAGCACTTATTTTTAAACCCTGCTTTCCAAAAATACGCAGACACGTCCCCGAGGCGGGCGGCTGCACCGAGAGCCCCCGCCTGGCCTAAGTGTGGTGGTCGCAGTCGGTGGCGGCTAGCAGACTCGGTGGCGGCTAGCAGACTCGGAGCTCTGTCTGGGGAGGGGCTGCTGAGTGCGGCCCCTCCCTTTCTCCCTGCCGGGGTCACTCGGCCCGCGACCTTCTGGGTTGCGTGGCGCGGGGTTGGGATGTTGTCCCAAGTTAACCCTTTCTCCCTCTCAGGGCCTGGCATGTGCTCCCTCCACCCCCCCCCCCACATTCCCAGAACTTCCAACAGAGCTGGGCCTGGTCCCTTTCCACTTGCTCTAGAGAAACCCCAGCAGAGCCCAGAGCAGCGTGGGTTTCTGGCCAAAGCCAGGTGCGTGGGAAGGGCGGGGACGGTCCCTCCCTGTGCCGGGGGCGAGGGGGCTGCTGCTCCCCCAGCGTGTGCTGGAGGCCGGGGCCCCACTGGGCCTTAGGGGCAATGAGAAGCCAATTGCAAGCAAGTGACCATTCTTCTCGCCTCCCAGAAAGCCCTGAGGTCATCAGAAGTGGCTCATTCAGGGCGCCCTGGGTCACTGTCCCACATCTGTGCTGCGTGTGGCCCTGACACAGCCATGACGTCACACAGCACCGATGCAAACCCGCAGACCTGTCTCCAGCCTTCCAGATGCCTCCCTTCTCCTCCGTGAGAGGGCCCTGTCTGTCCTTAGGGCGAACCAGACCACGAAGGCCAACTCGGCAGCTGCAGGCTGTCGCCTCGTGCAGGACGGGGAGCAGTGAACCCAGGGCGCCTGCGGGAGGAGGGGAGAGTCCTGCCAGGCCGTCCCCCAACCGGGGTGGACAGGGGTTTGATCTGCACTGTCCCCTACAATGTCTGTCTGCACGGCTGCTCTGGCGCTGTGACTAATCACAGAATCACAAGATGTAATGGCCTTACACGGCTCGCGAAGGGCCCAATTCAATTAAAGACCGTCCTGCGGAAGCCGTGAATGACCCTCTCGTCTTCACCTCCTCGGGGCCCCCCAGGCTGCCCGGGGCTTCCCGGGGCTTGCACCCCAGGAGGATGAATGGGCTGTTCCTTTTTCAATTTGTTTTACTGCCGCGGGCTCTGGACCGTGCACACTGCCTTTCCGGTGCGCGTCCTGCTTCGCGCCCTCGGGGGGCCCTGCACTGACCCTGGGGACACCCCTCTGCTTCCTCACCAGTTCGACAGGCTCTGGAGCGAGATGCCCGTGGACGCCAAGGGGCGGCTGAAGTACCTGGACTTCCTGAGCAGGTTCAGTTCCGAGAGAGTGGCGACCCCGCCCAGCACGGGCGACTCGGCCCAGGCCCAGAGAGGGAGCGAGGCCCCCAACCTCTCCGGCGGAGGCAGGTCTGCGGGGTCATCGCCCACCCGGGACCCAAAGGCCGGGACGAGAGCACGGAGCCACCTCGGTGTGAGTCCTCATCCCTGGGTGTCGCCTGGCAGCCTCGCACCAGGCCCACAGTCCCCTGGGGCAGGGCCTCTTGTGTCCCCACGGGGTGGGAGTGGCTGAGAAGACGACACCAGGTTGGGAGGCGTCCCCTGGCAGGTCCCCAGCGTTCCCCTGCCTGAAGGGGGCGGTGGTGTGAGGCGGGGGGCAGGGCAGGGCGCGGCAGAAAAGAGGCGTGGCAGGCGGAAGGGAAGCGTAAGGAGGACCAGAGGCCCGAGAAGGAGCGTGAGGCGAGGCTGGGGCTGCCGGCGTCATCGGCTGGACAGCAGATGCCCCAGTAGGTGCCCCTGTGGGCAGGGGCTGCCTGCCCAGTGCCCCGGGAAGGCCGGTCACTCCCGTCCACAGGGGGGGGACGCCGAGGCTCTGAGAAGCTCCCTCACGTGCTCAGAGTGCCCCAGGGAGACTCGGAGAGACCCAGTGTCTAACCGCAGACTGCCCACTGCGCGGCCCTGGCCCTGGGGTGGGGGAGGGGCAGCCTCACCAAGGCGCCTGCTTCGCCATCAAGGACGACGGAGTCCTTCCTCGGACGGGGGAGGGAGGGCCCCAGCCATGAGCGTAATATGCTTCATGCCTGGCGAGCACGCCAAGGGAGCGGGATCGTTTGTCCGCTCGATGGGCACGCACCGCCGGCACCCCCGGGGCGGTGCTGGGTCCTCCCTCCCTGGGGCTGGGAGCCAGCGGGGCGCCCCGCCCCCGCAGGGTCTGCAGTCTCCCCGCTCCCGTGCAGTGCGCAGTCTTATGGGGGCCGGCGGGCAGCTGCAGCAGTGATCCGATCCCGGAGGGGCGCTGGTGGCCTGGCACCGGGTGGCAGGGACGGCCGGGGCGGCTGGTGGCCAGTGGTCGGACACTGGTGTGCCTTCGTGGCAGGGCCAGCAGGGCTGAGGGGAGGGGCGCAGAGCCCAGGAAGACGTGGACTGGGATGGGGCGGGGGGGAGGGGGCGTACAGGTGCCCGGGGTCTGGCAGAGAGCCCAGGGACTCGGCCGAGTTCGCCCGTGTCGGACCGCCGGGCGTCCAGGAGGTGTGTGTGTGGGCGGGGGGGCGTCTGGGCCAGACTCAGTCCCTTCCCTGTTTCTGGTGGAAAACGTGTGCTTGTCACTTCACACACACACGTGAGACGTATCGAATCTGCGTCTCTCCAGATCTGAACCCTGGCTGCACGTTCGTTTCCAGAACCGCCTCAGTCACCGAGACTCGGCACAAAGCCAGCGCACGGACGGAAACGAAAGTCTGGCTTCCCCTGTCACTCCTGAGGCGATGCTGCCCGTGGGGTCGCGGGCCCCTGAGCCTGAGTGACACCTGTGAGCGGTCGCTCTTGCCTCCCGTCGCACACCCCCAGCTAAAGGGGGTTTCTCTGTCCTGCAGACGCCCGCCAGCGCGGGCACGGTGCCGGGCACCCCGCTGCTGCAGAACTGCGAGCCCGTGGAGCGCAAGCTGCGGAGGACGATCCAGGGCTGCTGGCGCGAGCTCCTGAAGGAGTGCAAGGAGCGGGACACGCACAGGCGCGGGGCCATCGCCGCGGCCGAGTTCATGGGTGCGTTCGCTTCCGGCCCCGGGGGACACTGCCTCCCCTCCCCTCCAGGCGCAGGCCTGGGCCCTCGGACACAACGGGGAGCCTCTGCTGGTGGTGGCAGGCTAGGCACCTTGACAAACACCGGGATCGGGGGACCAGAGGAGGAGAGGGGACAGGCGGAGAGGGGGTGGCTGGGGACGCGCAGGCCCGCTGCCCGCACGGCTCGCCCCCATTGGCTGTCGTCCCATTGGGTAAGCGCCTCCAGTCACAGCAGCTTGTCTGCACGCCCTCCGGCAGCGCTCCAGCCCCAGGGAGCGGAGCCGGGCCCCGCCCCCTCTGCTTGGGGGGAGGGGCCTCGGCTCCCTTCTTCTCCACCCGCACCCAGACCTTGTTTAGGAAAATGGTTCCCTTGAGAACCTCTCTTGTTCGTTCGTGTTACTGTTGTGGTAACCACGGCTCAGAAACACCCAAGCCAAACAAGGTGTGAACTCCTGTAGTGAGCGGTGCTCCAAAACACATGAATTAGATATGAAAACACGCAACCAGTAATAAGCAGATGTCGTTACATGGATCTGACATGGCGTGGTTTGCCGGGGTCTGTGCAATTTGGAGCCCCCTTGGTTTTCGTTGTTTCTGTTCCCTTGGGCAGGGTGGCCCCCGACTTGGGTGGTCGTCCTTAGCGTCATCGCTGTTTCCTATTTGAATGTGGACTCGGCCCGGCCACCAGCCCGTTGTGCGGTAGGCTTGTCTGCCTTTGGTGGTGCTGTAAAAAAGTTACTAATCTTCCAAAGTCGTTCCGTGTTCTACACACCACTGACGGCCCAGGCGAGCCGGCGCGTCCGAGGCTCCTACTGGACAGCTCCCTGCGCTTCCATTCCCCGCCCCTGCGCGTCCCCAGGCGGGCGGGCAGTAGCAGCGCGTCCTGTCTGCGGGGCAGAGGGCCTCGTCTCTCCGCCTGCGCCTGCTCGGCGTCACTCCCGCCCGGTCCGCTGGGCTCGGTTTTCCTCGTCGGCGTCAACAGTTAGTAACTCAGCGTCCTGCTCCTCGACGCTTCCTCGCTTTCATGAGGTCAGACGGAAAGCTCAGAGTATTCACCTTAAGCTGAAATCGGGTGCTTCCTAAGTCTCTCTTAACTGTGAGCCTCACTCCAGAAGCAGCTGTTGCTGCGTCGGGACTGGTCTGAGAATCGAGCGTGAGAGCGGGTGGGGCATGGGGCTGGGCGTGGTGTTCTGACGGCCCGCCCCCGGGCAGCCGGAGGGCCGCCCTCGTGGCATTGGGGTGGCTCTAACCAAAAAGCCAGACTTGAACCCCGGCCTCGCGGGCCACTTGTCTCTCAAGAGGGGTCCGCGTGTGTCAGGCTCGGTATGTCTCAGGTGGTCACTGGCACAGACACTCAAACCGTGGGCGGGGCCCAGTCTGAATTCAGGCGCGCACCCCGTCTACGGACGCCCCGCCCCTGCTCCAGGCTCCGCCCTGACTCTGAGGCCCCTCCCTGGGATCCCCCCTCCCTGGGATCCCCCCTCCCGCCTCCACTCCCACCCCGCCCACTCTTCAGTCACAGCTCACACAGCACACTGTCCACTCTGCCGTGACCGCGGCCGTGGGAACCGTGCAAAACCAGGGCAGTGGGCACACGCCAGGACGGGGGGGGCGGCAGGGGGCGGGTCCCCCTCCCCCCTTACCGCGCCTGGCTCACCGTGTGCACGCCTGTTGGCGTGTCTGTCCGGCCACTGAGCCTGAGCCCGCGCAGCGAGGCCTCACGCGGAGAAAGCACCTCCGCGCACGACGAGCGAGCGGCCGCGTGGACGGGTGCGGGGACGCAGCGCCACCCGCTGAGCTGGCGTTTCCGTCTGCAGAGCTCGTGGAGAAGTTCGGCCTGGACATCAGCAGGGAGGAGTGCCAGCAGCTGGTCGGGAAGTACGACCTGAAGGGCGACGGGAGCTTCGCGTACTGCGACTTCCTGCAGAGCTGCATCCTGCTGCTGAAGACCAAGGAGACCTCGCTGACGCGCAGGATGAAGATCCAGAACGCCCACAAGATGGTACGGGGGTCTCCCCCCAGGGGCGTCTGGGGCCGGGGCTAGGAGGGGCCCGGGTTTTCCTGAGCCCGCCCCATGGGCGCCGAGACGCGGGGCAGGGCCACTGGCCAGGGAGGACCGCGCCTGCGTGATGTCCCCAGACTCCCTGCCGCCTGCCCTCGGACCCCGCTCCCATGTCCTCCGTGCACACGTGTCTGTATGTCACCCGTGTATGGTATGTGTATGTACATATGCAGTGTGAGCGTGTGTCACATTGTGTGGTACAAGCGTGCGTGCAGGTGTGGTGTGTGTGCAAACACGTATGGAGTGTGTCCATGCCCTTGTGAAACCATCCTTTGCTGCCCCTCCCTCCCGCCGTTAGTCAGAGGCCCGCCCGGCTACAGGCAGTGTGCAGGTGAGCCCCTAACCGCCGGGGCCCGGCTGCTGGGCCCGGAGCCGGCCGCCCGCCCGAAGGGGAGCTCGCGTCCCGCCGGAGAGAGCTGTGGGTAAAGGCGAGGCCTCTCCGTCAGGCTTCGGGGACACTGCAACAGCTCAAAATCTGCTTTCTTGGTGAAGACGCAAAGACTGGGGACCAATCGCCTGAGACCCAGGTTCTCAGACTCACGGGGCGGCAGACACCCGGTTGTCACGGCTCTTCCCGGAGCCCCCAGAAACACCTGCGCGGCAAACGGCAACAAGCCGGCTGCTTCTACGAGGCCCCGGGACTGGAAGGGCAGAGCTGGGGTGGGGGCGGGGTCACAGCCACCAGAGATGGGCCAGACCTGCCCCGGGTGCGTCGGGAGGTGGGAGCTCCCCCTTCCTCGCCTGAACTGCACTGGCACGATGTTCTGTTTCTCGGAAGAGGGATGAGAACCTGAAGATGTTTAAGTGACAACTGGAGGACACTGTTTTCTTTGGCTTTTTAGCTTTTTTCCTCCATCATTTGTCATTTTGATTCCCACCTTCAACCACTGTTTTCCCTGACTCGCCTTTTTTTTATCCAAAACATGGAGCAAAAAAAAACCCCCAAAAGGCTCGTTCACGCTCATAGTCCGTCTCTGTCACGTTGGATCCTTCACTTGGAGTCCGCGCAGCCTCTGGGCCCACGAGGTCGCCACGCAGAGAACTGCGCATGTGCGGAGGAACCCACCGGGCGCCTGTTCTCAGGCTTGGGACCGGCCAGGAGCTTCTCCAAAGTAACCAACCAATTCCCCAAGCCTTCGCAGGCTCCCGATGGGAGCACCTCCCAACCAATGCCTGCTTTCCCCAGGCTAGATTGACAGGCCTCTGTGGTCACCATCTTAGCTGCTATTGGACATGCCTCCTAGAAGCGCCTCCCCTTGTGCCGCCGGGACTTGTACTCCCCACGTGCCGTTCTCCCCCACCTCCAGTCTGGGCGAGTGGAGCGGGGAGCGTGAACAGCCGGTCCCCCCTCCCTGCACGGGGAGGAGAAAGGGGTGTGACTCCCCTTCGAGGGGCCACGCTGCAGTCCCCAGGGGTGGGTGAAGCTGTGGCTCCCTGGCTGACGCCGCTCAGCAGCGTCTGACTCCCTCCGCGTCCTCCCTGCGCTTGTGACCATCCGGCCGCCCGCAGCGGCGCGCTGTGCCCCGCGCACGCGGACCCACCGACCGGGAGTCTGCCGAGCGCCCGTCACAAGTGCTCAATGGTGTGGAAGGGAAAGCGACTTAACTCCGCGCAGATTTGTCTTGCGTGGCGCCGTGTTGAAGCCACTGGCCTGGAGCGTGTCGCACGTCGTCACCCACGGCGCACCTGGTGGCGCTCAGGCAGGCGCCGGGCTGCGGCGCTGAGCCGGCTCGTTTCCGATCTAACGGCCCCTAAATGAAACAATCACAGGGCCGCGTGCTAATTACTGGATATAATTACAAACTTGTGGGGTTTTTTGGGGGGAGGGGGGACCTCTTTATTACAGTAATCTACTAGGAGTCCCAAACTGAAACCTTTTTCCTCGAACTATCTGGAAGTGGGTAGGGTAGCGGCCTGGCCCTCCCGCCCGAGCCCGGGGAGGGATCCGGTGGGGCGGGGGAGGGGGGGCCTGCGGGGGCAGCTGCTGGAGGCAAACACAGCCCGGATCGGGACTGATCCCCCCTCGTGGCCTCCGGGAGCCCCCATGCCCCTTCCACGCAGTGGGGACGAAGAGGCCCCCTCCCTCCCAGGTTGGGGCGCGAGGTAGGAACGAGCGGTGTTTTCCAGCAGCCCGCCCACAGACTCTGATGAGAAGCGGGGGTGGCGCGCTCCGCCCCCCTCCAGCGGGGGCCGCGAGCGGCGCACAGGCGGGGCCCAGAGGGCGGGCCCCTGGGAACCAGGCAGGAGGGGAGCTCCCGCCCGCCCGGTTGCGGCTGGGCCGCTGCACCCTTCCGATTCAAAAGCTCCTCCTCACCACCCTCCACCTTGGTGGGGGTTGTTTTCTTTCCAGAAAGAAGCTGGTGCTGAGACTTCCTCCTTTTACTTGGCGCTGCTGCGCATTCAGCCCAAAATTCTGCACTGCTGGCGGCCCATGCGGCGCACCTTCAAAGCCTACGACGCGGGCAGCACGGGGCTCGTGGGAGTGGCGGACTTCCGGAAGGTGAGCCCGGCCCCCGGGCGGCCGTTGCCTCCGAACGGGAAGCAGGTGCCCGGGGCCAGGGGCCAGGAGACCACAGAAGGGGGCCTGGTCCCCACCAAAGGCCTGCCTGTGAGGCGCTGTCCCGGATCCCGCCTCCTCGGGACCCTGGGCTCATCCAAGGCGGAGCGCACTTCTGCTCGCCTGCAGGCCTGGGTCCTCCCTCCTGAGGGCCCCCGGACCCCTGTGGGGACTCCCCTGATGCCCACACCTCAGCCTACTGCCGCAGCCCCACGGCAGGCCTGCCCCTGGGCCCAGTGGGGGCCCAGGGCCTGCGTCTGCCTCTCAGGGCCCGCAGGACAGCACAGAAACATTGGGGTGCAGAAGCGAGGTCCTAGCTGTGGCTCCTGAGGGGCCCACGGACGTGGCCCTGCCCCACGGGAGCCCCAGGCCCCCAGCTGCCCTCCACGAGGCAGGGCTGTCTCGCAGCTGTCCTCCACGCCCCCACGAGAGAGCCCACGTCACAGAGGGGCGCACGGCTGCAGGGAGCACCTCGGGAGGACCCGGCTCGGCCCGGAAGCTCTTACTTTGCAGGACCTTTGCTCCCTGTCTCCAGAGGGAAGACGCAGCCACCCCCAAGGGCGACTTAAACCCCCGCTTTTAGAATAACCCTGAACCCCTCCCCCCACCCCCACCGGGCCCGGAACTCACGTCACCGCCAGAAAAACCTCAGTCAAGGCATCCCAGACCAGCCGGTCTGTGACCCGAGAACGCACTCACAACAGATGTACTTCCTGGGCTGCCTCTGCTTCCGCTGAAATTATGAAGCCTTTTCTTCAGTAATAATAACTGCCTCTGCTGGTGGTGGGCAGGGGGCTGCGTGTCCAAGGGTCCGTGCTGGACGCGGACCAGCGAGGGGCCTGCCCCCACCCACCCTGGAGAGCAGCCGGGGACCCAGGACCAAACCCTGCCCTCGGGGCCCACTGTGCTTCCAGTTCCTGCGGTCTGTCTGTGCCTTGGGGTCAAGTAGAATCCTCAGCCGGCCCCTCTAGTCAGCCCCCAGGCAGAGGCGGGGGCCCAGGCGCAGGATGGGGTGCCTGTTATTTAGGGTTTGTTTCAGCTGTGCGCCGCAGGAGGGGGACGAGCAGCAGCTGAAACACGGTGGGCGCTGGAAACACAGTGGGCGTCCGGGTCTCCCTGTAGAGGAAGCCCGAGGTCGGGAGTCCAGGGCCAGGTGGTGGCGGGACGGTCCCTGGTCACTGGGGGCGTCCCTGTTTTGCTTCACCGTCCTCAGCACCTGCTGTTCTCCCTCCAGGTCGCTTCAGGAGAGAGAGGGTGGGGAGGGAAGTGTGTGTGTGTGTGAGAGTGTGAGTGTGTGTGTGAGAGAGGGGGGAGGGGGAGGCAGGGGAAGAGGGAGAAGATGGGGAGAGAGAGGAAGAGAGAGGGCGGTGCTGGAGGGGGCGTGTCCCCAGCCTGCGCACCGCCCCCCCCCCGCCTGCCCCGCCCCCAACGGCGCCCAGCGAAGCCGGCTCCTCCCCGCCTTGCAGGTGCTGCGGGAGTACAGCATCAACCTGTCGGAGGAGGAGTTCTTCCACATCCTGGAGTACTACGACAAGACGCTGTCCTCCAAGATCTCCTACAACGACTTCCTCAGGGCCTTTCTCCAGTAGGGCCCCCAGCGGCGTGCGCGGCGTGGACAGACGGGGCCGTAGAGCCGGTCCCCGAGACCCACAGAACCACGCGGCCCGCGAGGCCTCTCGGACCCCCGGACTGTCTCCAGAATCGAGACCAGGCCCGCACCCAGCCGGCATACCCCGGGCGCCGAGCCGGGCTCAGCGCCGCACCTCGACCCCGGCCGCAGGGGCGGCCTCTCGGGGCGGCCTCGACACTGTTCCCGAGCCTCAGGACCCCTCCCCTCATGCGTCTGAGCAAATAAAAATGTTCCTTTTTGCAGAAGTGATTCTTGAGACTTTCAAAGAACCACCAGTGCTGCGATGCTTGCAGACTCGGAGTTTCTGGAGGTTTCATCCACCGGAGCCTGCCGGGCGCCCAGGGGACGCCGGGGCCCCCTCCCCGCGGCCAGGCCCCGTGCTTCTGCATCCTGGATCAGACCTGGCCTGCGGGCCAGTTCCAGTTCTGTGGCTGCCCCTCACGGTTAAGGCCTTGCCCGGAGGCAGCCGTCCCGCCTTCTCCTGGCTGGGCCCTGTATCCCGGTCCGGCGCTAGAAACGAAAACCAGCCGTAGAGGTGAATGCCGGCTTGGACCGATGCAGCAGCAGGCGCGGCAGTCGAGGAAGGATGAGTGAGTTTGCAGAAAACGTGCGTACATCCAAAACCAAAGTGGGGGCGGGGGAATCCTGTAGCAGCCTGCCCTTCACAGACAAGGAGACATGCGCCCCAGCTGGAGCGGCCCAGTGCCCTGAGCGCCACTCCCCGTCAGGGCTCACGCCCGGGTCGCCGGCCAGGTCCCCATGGGGGGGGGGGGGGCACATGAGAGGCAACCACACATGGGTGCTTCTCTCCCTCTCTTTCTTCCTCCCTTTCCCCACTCTCTAAACATAAATAAAATGTTTTCTAAAAGATGAGAAGTAATTTTACATCCTCAGAAAACCTGCAGGTAGGTGAGTTGAGATTATCTAGTCTTAAAACAAAAAAAAAAAATAAAGGAAGATGAGCAGAGCCTCAGAGACCCGTGGAGTAAAATCAAGTGTGCTGACCAACACGCATGCACACACGCACGCACCAGGAATCCCAGAAAGGGTTGGGGGGGGGAGGGAGAGTCCCCAGACTGGAAGGAAGACGAGGAGCCGTGCACCCAGGAAGCCGGTGACCTCCCGGGAGGGCAGACCTCAGGCCCCGCCCACGCCACATGCACGATCGTCCCAACAGACGCAGAAACGGCATTGGCAACATTCAGCGTTAACTCATAAGGCAAACTCTCAACAAACTGGGAACAGGGAGGAACCTCCTTAACGGAATAAAGACATTTACAAACACCCGCACGCGCTGGCCGGCGGCTCTGTCGGCTGGAGCGTCATCCCGCTTGCGGAAGGCCGCGGGTTCGATCCCTGGTCGGGACAAGTGCGGGAGGCGACGGATTGGTGCTTCTCTCTCACACCCGTGTTCCTCCCTCTCCTTTTCTCGCTCCCTCGCTCGCTCTCCCCCCTCCCTCCCTGTCAAATCAGTGCGCGTGTCCTCCCGTGCGGTTAGAGCAGACACAACTGGCGCTAACACTGTGGGGACTGGTGAGGGGGGCGCATGTGGCCGCTGAGACTGGCAGCGGGCAGGCACGCCGCTCGCCACTGATGACTTGGCGTCGCACTGAAAGTCCCAGCCAGCGCAACGAGGCCAACAGACGAACACCTGGGAAAAAGAAGAGTGGGAAGGAACAAATAAAATGGTCCCTTTTTGCAGATGAGGTGGGCGGTCATCTACATGGGAAATTCCAAAGAACCCCCCACAAAAAGCGAACTAAGTTGAGTTATCAAGTCAATCAACAAAAGGCCCCGCATGCCTGTGTGCCCGCAGGGAGCGGCTGGGGCGTGGAGTTCAAGAGCAGCGCTCTTTGCAATGCCCCCCACCCTGGGAAGTGCTCGGGTGTAAACCTAGTGAAATGTTCATGTGTGCATGAAGAGTGCAAGCATGAGCGCAAGGAGACAAAGGGTTCAAGACGCGGAGACAGGCGTGGTTCCCGTTAGCTGGGAGGCTCGATGTTTTTAAAATACCACTTCTCTCCCCACTGATGGGCAGATTCTGCGCATGCCCACCCAAACTCTCAGGGAGGTTGGTGTCAAGTTCATGTCCAAATGTATGTGGAAGGGCAAAGGAACTGGAAGAGCCAAAACGCTTCTGAAAAAGAACAACAAAATTGGAGGATTCACACTACCCAATTTCAAGATTTATCCGTAAAGTTATAATGATCGATAGAGTATGACGCTGGCCAGAAAAACAGACTGTACGGATCCATGGACGAAAACGGACAGCCCAGCCCTGGCCGGCGAGGCTCCGTGGGTTGGCGCGTCGTCCCGAGCACCGCGAGGTCAGGGGTTGGATCCCTGGTCAGGGCACGTGCCTAGGTAGTAGGTTTGGTCCTCGGGGCCCGTACGGGAGGCAAACGATGGGTGTTTCTCTCTCTCCCTCTCAAATCAATGTATCCTCCTGGGAAGTTTTAAAAAACGGAGAGCCCAGAAATACACCCACACAGACACAGTCCACTGGTTTTAGACAAACGCGCAAGGACGTTTCAGCAGAGAAACAGTGCTCGTGTGCAAACCCATGGAACTCGACAGGCACCTCAGACGAAAGTAAACCGAGGTGCATCACAGCCCTGAGCATGCGACACGCAACGCCCCCGCAGGCTTGCCCTTGGGCTTGGTTGGCGACGAGTGGTTAGGTTCTACGCCTAAAGCACAATTCATAAAGAAGATTGATAAGCTGCACTTCATCAAAATTAAACACTTTTTTTCTCTGAGCAACAGTTAAACAAATGAAAAAGCCAGCCCACAGAGTGGAGGAAGAGACCTGCAACTCGCACGCTCAGCCAGGCCTTGTCTCCGGAGCGTGAACAGCTGTTAAAACTCAAAAACAACCTCCTTTTTGAGGAGAGAGACGAGATCTCAACAGACACTTCACAAAAGGGTGTATGTGAATGGCAGATAAACATATGAAAAGACGCTTGACATCGTTAGCCACTAGGGAAATGGAAATTAAAACCACAGCGAGCCCTGGCTGGTGTGGCTCAGTGGATTGAGCACTGGACTGTGAACCAAAGGATTGCTGGTTCCATTCCCAGTCAGGGCACATGCCTGGGTTGCAGGCCACGGCCCCAGTACGGGGCGCACAAGAGGCAACCACACATTGATGTTTCCCTCTCTTTCTCCTTCCCTTCCCCTCTCTCTAAGAATCAATAAATAAAATCTTAAAAAATAGAATAAAACCATAGTTTAAAAAAACACAGCACACACCTGCTCACAGGGCCAAAGTTTTTTACGTGGACGCTACACTCAGTCCAATGGGGGCGTGACCCACCAGGCAACTCCCTCCCTGCCCGTGGGACCGCAAAAGCGGTTTTGGAAAATTATGTCATTAAAAGGGGGCCCAACGAGGGAGTTTTCGGGTGGTGGCACTGCTCTCGGAACGGCACGACCCCGACTGGTCACGGGAGAATGTCGGACAAACCCAGCAGGAGGGCCGTTCGAGGAAACAGCCGGCCAGCGTGCCTCAAACCCGCCGAGGTCGTGGAAGTGGAGGGGAGACTGAGCAGCGGTCCCAAAACCGCAGGACACCGAGGGGACACGACAGAATGCGACGTGGGGTTGGGGGTGGCATTCTGGAGGAGAGGGAGGACATGCGTCAAAAACCGCGGACGTCCGAGTAAAAAGCAGTTCCACCGTGTTACACCAATGCTCGTTTCCTGGTTGGTGAGTGTGCCCTGGTTATGTTAGTGCTGGGGGTACCCCGGGGGGGACAGGCCCAGAGGAACTCTGTGGTGTCTCTCCAACTCTCCTGCAAGTCTAAAATCATTTCAGAATAAAATGTTTGTTTTTTTTAAATGGAGAAATCATGTCCTGTTGTTCAGGGCCCAGCCAGGCCCCTTCCTCCAGGAAGCCTTCCCTGATCTCCCCTGCACACAGGGTTTGCTTGTCCTCAGGGCCCCCCAGCCTGACCCCACCTGCCACTCTCCGGCCCGAGCACGTGAGACCGGGAGGAGGGGTTTACCTTCTTCTCTGGGATCGGAGGAGCCTTCCAGCGTCCCCCGCGGGCATGCAGAGAGCAGGGCCCGATTCCCGCATCCTGCAGATCTGCGTGGGCCCAGCCTTCAAGGGGAATGGTGGGGGGAGGGCCTGTCTAAGGCCTTCCAGGACAGGCCCCCGAGCTGGCCAGGCCGGCGTGGGCCCAGCTGGGAGATGTGGGGGGCCCCAGAGGGGAGCGCTGGGTGAATGAAGCCCATGCCCACAGACCCTGTCACTTCCACTGCCTTACTGGGGGGGGGTGTCCTTTCTTCCAGAAGAGAAGGCCTGGGAGTGTGGTGCCCTTGGAGGGTCAAAGGTTCAAGGTTCAGGTCCCTGGGAGCCACAGTGAATTGTGGGGAAGAGCTGCCGGGGGCGGGGCTCTCTGAGAAGGAACTTACCAAAGAGCTGAGGGATGGGTGGGGGGGTGGCAGCTGGCTGGACGTGTCCACTGCTCGGCCCCGGGCAACAGGAGGGTTATCGGGGGACCCGATCCTGCATCGTCACCCCCCCAGGCCACGGGGACACCTGGGGCGAGGTGGCTGTGCGAGTGCACCAACGCGGAGGGCGGGACCACCCGAGCCCAGGCCCCAGGCGAGTCAGAACCCAGGTGTCTACACTGAAGGCAGCAGGGGCGGGAGGCAGGGCAGCCGCTGCGTCTCCGCGGAGCCCCCGGCCGCCGGTGCTCTCCAGCAGCAGCCCCTGCAATGCCACACTGCTACCAGAGGTGGCAGCAGCCACACAGGCCCCGCTGCGGCCCCGGAGCCCCGCTCGGCCGCACGCTGGCCCAGAGTAGCAGCGAGTGTCTCCAGCAGCCCCTCCTGACGGCCCACGGCCCAGGACGCGCTGTCGTGGGCCCCGGCAAGGCCTTGGGGGAGGGAACTCCTTGGCGGAGAGAGAACAGCGTGGCAGGACAGGCTCACGGAGAGGCTGACCTCACTGCGGTCTGCCCCGGGGGCTCCTCCCACCCTCTGGGAGGTCCCCCCACCCCCGCCACCCCCAGCGCCGGCCCCAAGGCTTCAGGTATGACCTTAAATACCAGTCTCCAGAGAGGGTCTCCCTCCTCCAGGTCCACCTCCCCCCGCCCCCCCCGCCATCACTGGACCCCTTCCACGCACACCCGAAGGGCTCCTCCAGCTGGAGACCCAGACGGAGCACAGCGACCCTCCACGAACCTGTCCTCCCCCGCCCTCGCCACCACAGCTACTCCTCATCAGTGCTGACCCTGTCGCCGGCCCGCTGCCGCCTCCCAGGTCCCAGCCAGGCCCGCGGGAGGCGCTCGCTGAGTGTGGCGTGGACGGCCAGTGGCGGGATGGGTCCGTGGGCGGGTGAGCGGGTGGTTGTGTCGACGCACCCAGGGACGGCTGGGTTTTTGCAGCTTCGGGAGCTTTGAGCCTGGAGTCATTACGCTTGCGGGTGCTTTTCACGGGCAACCGCTGGACCCACAGCTCGACGAGGCACTGGAGGCACTCTGCCCCGGGAAACGAGGCCGCCGGGTGTCGGATGAACACACCAGGGCACGCCTCTGAGGTCCCCGCGACCCCAGCTCCGGGGAGGCTGGCGCAAGCAGGAGGAACGCCAGTCGCTGACCCGTGGAAGGGGGGTCTTTGGCCTCGGAAAGCTGCCCGGGGCCCAGGAACCCCCGGGGCGGGGAGGACACTGCCCGCGCCCCACCCCCATGCCCCACGCGACTCGCAGAGACACAGCCGGTAGAGACTCCTTTCTTCTTACAAAGACTTTATTGTCTGACATGCTGGACAGGAAAAAAGAAACAAACACCACAGCCATGACCGAGGGAGGCTGGGAGGGCCGAGGAGCACGCCGGCCGCTGCCACGCCTCCAGGACTTCCCGAGAGATTTTTTTCAAAGTAACCGCCGCCGTCATAGCTTTTCTTTTCCACATAAAAATACACCATATTCTGAAGATACCTTAGGAAAATTTTTTTTTAAAGTTTCTAGACCTCAGCCCACATAGAAAGTCAGCAGAGGTGGCTGGAAGGTCTCAGTCTCCTCCACCTGCGTCCGGGCCCTGAGACCTCGGACACAGCCCCGGCGGCCAGGAGCCACTCGGGCCAGACGGGGTCCCAGGAGCCCTGCACCCTGCCACTCGAGGCTGGCCTGTGGCACCTCGGGGCGGTTGCAGGCGCCCCGGAGGGTGACCGGGTCCCACAGGGGCCCTGCAGGAGCAGGGAAGGGGCCACAGGCCTCGGGAGGCCAGAGTGCTGGGCTCCGAGGACCGGGTCCCTCACCGCCGGACTCTTCTCTGAGAAACACACCAGACAGGTTCTGAACAGGACCCTTAAATTTAAAAAAAAAAAAAAAAAAAAAAAGGGCCTTGGACCACACATTGCATCGCAGGGGGTGGGGCCTTGGGTGGCGGGAAAGCGGGGGCTGGGAAGCCAGAGACCAAGGTTCAAGTCCTGCCTCTGCCCCTGGGGCTGCGCACCCTCCGCCTGGTACCTTGCCCCTCTGACCTTGACCGCTTTCTCTCTGAAACGGACCGGCAGCGTCACCCTGGCAGGACCGGCTGAGGACGAGGGGAGCCTGTCCCTGCAAAGGGCGGTTCAGCGCTGGTCCCCAGGCCTGGGGCCAGGGCGAGGCGAACAAGGCCTCCTTTGGGAGCACAGTTTGAGGGGGGACCCAAAAACTCTGTGAAGTCAATGCATGGTACTATCCGAATCTGATATTGTTTTAAAAATCAAAACTGATGTAAAAAAAAAACCGTGATGACCAAAATACTCAAATTTTACGTGAAGACAGACCCCGGCCCTGCACATGCCCGACCCGCCTCCCTCGCTTCTCCCACCTCGGGCCCTGCGGGGCGCCCCTCCCTCGGGAAGCAGCCCCGCCCCCCGCCCCAGCCCGTTCTGACCCTAGAAGGTAACAGGAGCCCCGAACGTGGAGCTGCCAGGGCCTGGGACCTGCTGTCACGGTGCCACCCCCCCGTTCGAGGGCCCGCGGGTGCCGGGAGCAGGAGGGCCATGACCCACTCAGCCGTGCTCAGCGGGGGGCAGGCCAGGCGGACCCCCCAACGACATGAGGGGAACCCCACCGAGGGTCGGAACCCACTCGAGGATGGTGACAGGAGGATGGTGACAGAAAGCACAGGAGCCACTCACTGGATTAAGAGGGGGGTGCGTGTGTGTGTGAATGTGCGTGTGCGTGGTGCATGCCCACGTGGGCACGCACATGTGGCGGGGTCGCCTCGGCCTGCGGACCCTCCAGGCTGTCGAGCGCCATGGGACAGCGCAGCCCCCACGGGGCCAGGGGTCACCCACGGCTTGGAAACCCTCCCGCTGGCCCTGGGCACGGAGCGGCTGGTGCTCTGGAACCAGCCCCCAACGCCCCCCTTCACCCCCCAGGCCCCGCGCAAGCGCCCGGGATGCACAGGCCGCTGTCCCTGTCAGCGCAGGCGCCCACAGGAAGGACGCAGGGAGCGACCCGGGGCGGCAGCGCGCAGGCGTGGCCAGGCGCAGCCGAATTCCTGAGATGTCCCCGGACGCTGGCCCCCTCGGAGGGCCTGGGCGGAGAAGGGGAGGGGCGGTCTGCGCCCCTGGCCACCCACCCCCAGCCCCGGGGCTGGCGGCCGCGCAGACCCTCGGTGAGGGGGAGATTTTGTGCCCGAACCTCCCGACTCCGCCCGAGAGCAGGGGCCTCCCAGACCCACGACGGTGTCCAGCTGCGGAGGATGAAGATTCAGCCACTTCCCGAACACGGCGGGGCCGCGGGCTTGGTGGGTCCTTCGACGAGGTACACACGGGATGTACACACGGGATGTACACAGAGAAGAAAGTAATGAGCACGGAGCCCCCGACAGGGACCCACGGGGTCCCGGTGGCAGGAGGCAGGAGGCGGGCGTGAGATTCCTCATTGCAAAGCCTCAACCCATCGGCTGGGCGGGGCCCCGCAGCCCGGCAGGCTGTCCGCAGGGAAGGGCGCGCGGGGGGCCCGCGCCGTCAGCCCGGCGGCGTGCACGGCGTCCGGGGGTGGGCGGGGCCGGGGCCGCAGGGGCAGTCAGGAGTTCCGGGGCGTGGGCAGGTCGATGACTATGGGCGGGTTCACGGGCTGGTAGTTCACGGTGCACACGGACGCGTTCACGTATGTGGTCGTCCCGTCCGCCATGACGCCGTACCCTGGAAAGGAAGCGCACCCCTGTGCAGGCCGAGGGAGGGGGCCAGGCCCTGGAGCGGGGAGGGGGCTGCAGGGGGCGGGGCGGGGGGGGGGTCGGCGGCACTCGGCCGCCTGGGGCAAGGTCCGGAGACGCTCAACCTGGTCTCCCGCCTGTAAATAGAGATTGCAGTGACAGGCGCGCCTCCCACGGCTGCTGTCAAAGCTGAGGGCCAAGTGAGACAGTAATCCACGTACAGTGCTCAGCTCGCCCCTGGGAAGCACACAGCAAGACGTCCTCATTGACATCCTCATCATCCCACCATCATCATCACCACCACCACCATCACCACCATCAACACCACCATAATCCCCACCATCACCACCATCATCATCACCACCATCATCACCATGATCATCACCATCACCACCAACACCACCATCACCATCAACACCATCACCACCATCCTCACCATCACTGTCACCACCACCGTTACCACCAGCAGCATCACCACCAACGGGCCATTTCCCTCCAGCGTAGAGATGAGGGAGGGGGCGACCAGGTTAAAGGGAGGTGGCCACTGAAGGGCCGGCGAGAAGCCCCCGGCGGGTGGGCCCTCCCTCCCCCGCCGCTCGCACTGACCTTCGTGGATGTGGCCGAAGACGTGCAGCCGCGGCTGGACCCGCCTCTGCACCGTGTTGAGCAGCTCCACGCAGCCCACCCGCTGCATCTTCTTGGGGACCCAGTCCAGGAAGCCTGTGGGGGGGGGGGCGGCGGAGGGCAGTGAGCCCCGCCCCCAGCCCTGCCTGGCCCCGCCCCCCAGCCTCACTGCTCCATCACGAGCCTTGAAGGGAACGCATCCCAGGGGTCAGAAGGAGAACAGCAACCAGCGCTTCCGGAGGCGCTAACGCAGCCCCGGTGACAACACCTGTGTGTCGCCCCTAGACCTCAGGGCCCAGGGACTCAGAGCCTCCTCCCTTTGAAAACGGGGACCGCAAAGCCTTCCTCTCTGCACGTTGTGGGGGTGCAGAGAGGCGCCTGGCACACCGTGGGTGCTCCAGGAAGCCCCTTCCCACACAGGCATCCTGGGCCTTGCCCACAACCCCTCCCTCCCCTGACTCCCCCAGACCCCATTCTGCGGTCACCTCCTCCGCAAGCTCCCCAGGCCCCGCTCTGGCCGCCTCTGTCTCTGCCGCTACTCTCAGGCTCCCTCACCCACGGGGCTTGGCCGCTCTGGGCCCTCTGCCCCTGGCCTGGCGCCTGCAAGCCCCGGAGGCAGGCTCTGCTTCAGGGGAGCCCCCGCCCAGCCCAGCCCCCAGCCCCACCCAGCAGTGCCCAGCGCCCCCCCAGCCCTGCCTGGCCCCGCCCCCCAGCAGTGCCCTGGCCCCGCCCCCAGCCCTGCCAGGCCCCGAGCCCCGGGGGCGAGATGGCAGGGTCAGCAGAGGCCACGGCAAAAGGCTGGTCTGGACTAAACTCCTGCCAGGAGTTCGACCTCCGTTCTAAGGACCGAGGGAGCCACAGAAGGTTACAGAGGGATAGCGTGGCAGAGCTGACAATTCAGAGAACTCCCTCCTCCTGCCGTGAGGAGAGTGGAGCGGAAGGGACAAGACTGGGGGCTGGGGGACCGGTGAGGGGGTCGGCAGAGAGAGAGAGAGAAGACGCTGGCCTGGACAGCAGTGAGGACGGCAGTGGCAAAGGGAGGGGAACAGCTGGGACACCGACCCACCGCTCGGAGGTAGAACCGAAGGGTCGAGCTGATGGGCCGGAAGCGGGGCCGGGCGAGGAGAGGGGGCGGGAGCAGGTGGTAGGGTGGGGTCCGCAGGCCCTGGGCCCTGTGGGATGGGTGGGGGGAGGCCCCCAGTGACGGACAGGGTGAGGGGTGCAGGAGGCGGGGCCTGTGAGAGCGGCCCTGGCGGTGCTGAGTGCCCAGGACGCAGGGCCCGAGGTAGCAAGTCCGGCTCCCGGCTCAGGAGATTAGGGAGGGGTGGGTCCGCTCGTCCCTGCTGCCCCAGCAAACCCGGCTCAGGCCAGGGCGGGCCGGGGCTCCCCTCAACCCCCCCCCCCTCCGCCAGCGTCCTCCTTCAGAGAGAGCCAGGCTGGGGCTGAGGCTGGGGCAGGGCGGCAGGGCCCAGGACCGGGGACCCCAGGGCTGGCGGGTGGCTGGCTCTTACCCAGCGGGGGCCCGTGGGTGATCAGCACGTCCACGCCTTCGGGGATGAGGTTCCACTTCTCCAGCAGGGCTTGTCCTCGCGGGAGGTTGAAGCCCCAGCCGTAAAACCAGGGCTGCCTGTGGGAGAAGAGCAGGGGGTTCAGGGGGGCTGCCGGGCGTGGAGGCACCCACAGGACGGGGAAGCAGGCAGGGCCCCGAACGGCCGTCCGGTCACCACCACCACCACCACCACCACCATCATCACCATCACCTCCATCACCACCACCATCACCTCCATCACCACCACCATCACCTCCATCGCCACCACCGTCATCATCACAAACCCCTCCTAGAACCCTCCCATGAAGCCGGGATGAAAAACGCTCGGCCCAGCGCAGGGTTTTCAAACCCCACTTTAATGGGTCACAACAGCACTTTTTAAAAGTAAAAGCAAAAGAAAGGGCGGGAAACACAGAGTCCATCTCAGCAGAGAAGGGACACGCCCACTAAGCATCTGCAGGCTTAGGGAGACGCCCACACGCATGCGCACTGGGGCGCAGAGTCAAGCGCTCGTTCCCTGCCCGCGCCCCCCCCCCCGCCCCGTCCGGGCCAGAAACCGCTGACTGTCCTGCGCAGTCCCGGCGGGCTGAGCTGGCGGTGCTGTCACTCCCGAGCCCCCATCACACTCGCAGCGCCCTCGGGGCGAGGCAGGGCGTGGCTGAGGCCCCCCGAAAGCCGCTCTGCAGGCCGTGCCAGGGCGTTCCCCGCCCCCCCCCCCCCGGGGCCTCCAGCGCGGCCGGCCTGGGCGAGAAGGGGCAGTGCGCTTCCGGCGCGGCCTTCCAGACTCGGGACCCGTTGCCAGACATCTAACCGAGTATTTGCCAGAGCACAGGCCTCGCCAGCACCGGGAGAAGGCATCTATCGGCCCCGTGAGCTGCGGCGCGGAGCGGCTCTGCGGAAGAGACGCTTGGAAACAAATCAGAGGCACCGGAGGCCCAGGAGCCGATGCACAGTCGAGCCCTCCCCTGCCCGGCCTCCCCCTCGCCCAGCACCGATGAACCCTCCTGGGCAGTGACAGTCCCCCAAAGATGCACCTGCCTGGTTCTTGGACACACGTCCCTTCAAATCCCAGGAAGCTGGGATCCGCCCTGCCCCCAGAGGTCGACCCGCTCCCCAGTGTCACACAGCAGGTCCTAGGCAGAGCCCGGGGAGGCGCAGGTCTGAAGAGGGCGGGATTCGGGACCGCCGCCCACAGGCCTCCCCCCACGCCTGTCTCCGAGGACATGAGGTGCATAGACCTCGCAGCAGCCTGGGGTGGGGTGGGGCAGGGGTCACTCTGGGAGGGCCAGGCCCGGAAAGGGGGCTGCCTTGTTGCCCCCTAATGGGCGGGAAGGACACTGAAGTTGACCTCAGCCCTCCCGGCTGCGCCCCGAGGCTGGTCACTTCACCTCTCCCAGCCCGTGTCAGATGGGACAGTGACACCTCTGCCCCCAGACCTTACCCCATGAGGGCAGGGATGGCCCTTGCTCGGTGCCCTGCGCCCTGCCTGACGGGGGACTTAGGGGTGTGAGGGTCACACTGTACCACCGCCAGGAGGCGCTCCCTAACACCGGCACTGTCGAGGGGAGAAGGTGATGTTCTGGCTTTTACTGGAACTCGGGCACTGTGTCCACAGGAGACACAGCCCAGGACGGCAGCCGGCTGGGGAGCACTGTCCCCGGGTGGGGGGCCCTTCTCAAGGGCGGCCAGGGGCATGGGGCCAGAAGGTGGGGACCAGAGACTCGGGAGAGACAGACGGACCCGAGTCTGGCGGTCAGGGCAGGCCTCCAGTCCCCCGCCCCGCCCCCCACACCCCTGCCCCATACGATGTCGTCCATCCAGGTTTCCTCACAGGGAAAGGGGTCATAGGGTGGCACCATCCTTCCTCAGCCAGCGTCAGCCCTCAACTCCCCCAGCGCTCTGCATTCGGCCACACCACCCTCGTCCCCCAGGTCCTTTGGGGCCAGAGGTTAAAGTGCAAAGGTGCCCAGGGTCCCAGGCCGTCGTCCCAGCAGTGGGATCCAGCCAGCCCCTCACTGCCCCCGCCCACGTCGGGGCAGCCTCGGTCTGAGACCCACGAACACCCCAGCGTGGGGTGCATGGGAGCGGTGGTCCCCACGCCCACCTCAGGGTGCCGGGACCCAGCCTGACTGCCCGAGGGCCCGGCGCAGAGGTCGGCCCCGCGTCCAGGACACACGGACCCACGGCGGGGTGCGGGGAGCCGGATGAATCAGAATTCCGACCGAGCCATGGCGGCGGCGGCTCTATGTCCTGAATTTCTGTCTTTCTGTTCTAAAGTAACCATTGGAATAATTTCCTTACAGAACGATAGTTGCCATGACAACCAGAGCAAATTTTCCTTTTCTGAAACAGATGTCTCATTTAGTTGAAAATTAGAATGTGAACAAGCCCATGAGAAAAATTAATTCAAACTTTAACAGAGCGCTGGATACAATGTAATCTCTCAGAGGTTAACTAACCCTCGCCGCCTGTGTGCGCTCCCGGTCGCCCTCCAATCCGGCCCAATTAAGCCCGCTTAGCCAATATAAATGACCTCCCGGCGGCCGGTCGTTAACCGCGTGCCCCCTGGCGCGGGAATTCCGGGCTCCCTGAGGCAGAGGCGGGCGGGGCTGGTCTGCAGGGACGGCTGGGGCGCAGCATCCGCCCTGCTCCGTGTCCCCAGGAAGGTGCACACACCTGGGCCAGGGGGCGTTCCCAGGGGTCCCTCCCTCAGCCAGCCTTGGGCACGGCCGTGCCCTTTCTCGGGGGCTGGGATGCGGGGGCGGAGGAGGCCTAGGGTGCCCCTGGCGGGGTGGGTGCAGGCGTGTCCCCCGGCCGGAGGCTGATGACCAGAGAGGGGAGGGTGCATTGCTCTCTCCGTAGGCCACCGAGGGACGCCTGCGCACACCTACCCCAGGGAGGCGAGTGCCACCGCCACCCCATTTCACAGATGCAGAAACTGGGGTGCAGAGAGGGACCGTGACGTGCTTGCCCAGGATGAGCTGGTGACCAAGGGACGTGGCTAGGCTCGGCCCCGATGGCACATCCCAGACAGAGTCTGTGCTCTCGGCTCCCGGCTCCCGGGAGTTACGGCAGCGAGACGGGACCCGGACCCGCCTTCCTCAGCAGACGCCTGCAACCAGCCGGTTCACACCTCGGCTCCGCTAGTCCTGGGGGCAAAGCTGCAGGAAGGGCCCGTCAGGGGGACGAGGAACTGGTGACCCTGTGTGGTCAAGCTGTGTGTCTGAGGACACAGAGGAGGCTACGGGGACCCGGGCCGGGGTCCTGGCTTCTGCCCCCTGTGCCCCGCGGTCAGCTGCACAAAGAGGACCCTGGCAGGGTGGCCAGGCCTCGTCGACGGCAACCGCCTGCCTCTGGGCAGCCCCTGAATGTCCCTGCCAGGTGCCAGCACAGCCTCCGGCCCCGCAGGGCCCCCGTGGCCCTGGCTGGACAGGGCTCCCTGCTCCCCTGCTCAGGCTTCCTGCCCAGTTCGCCGGCCCCCACTGCCCCCCCACGGGCACCACAATCCACCAGTTCCTACACGCAGCACAGCCGCTCCCCTCGGCGACTGCTCCTGGCGTTCCAGCCGTCTGAGACGCCCTCCCAGCCTCTCCACGGAGCCCCTCGCTGGTTGTGTGTGAAGGCCCCGCTCGAGGGCCACCGCTTCCAGGGGGCTTCCCCTGATTACCTCCAGTCCCCAAGCACAGGTGACCCTCCTCACTCGGAGCGCCCTTCGGCAGTCTCCTTCAGGGCAGGCCCAGGTCGGGACTCTCCTGCCCAGCAGGTGGGGGCCTAGAAGGGCTTCCGGGAGGGGTGTGTCCGAGGTGTGCATGGACGAAGGAACCCACGGCGGCTCCCCCTGGCAGGCAGGCAGGTGGGCGGGAACTGGGCATTGAGCCTCTCCACTCTGCACCATCCCCAGAGTCCCCAGGAGTCACAAAGCACCAAGACCCACAGCAAGACACGAACTCAAGACCTCTGGCCATCCGCGGAGCACCCCTTCCCCGCCTGCCCAGTCCTGCCCAGGTGGACACCTGCACCCATTGCACAGGTGAGGTCTCAGAGGCAGAGCCAGACGCAGGAGGCTCACGCCCTCTGCTGCACCCAACCCCTCTCCCCAGGCAGCCCGTCCCGGGACAGGGCCCGGGGTCGTTGAGGGCTGGGTGCTCTGCTGTCCGCCCAGCAGCGGCCTCGCGGCCCCGTGAAAATCCTCTGGGGAAAGAAGGGATGGACCCTGCAGCGGGCCCGCGGGGGGCCAGGTGTTCCCGCTTCTGCTCTCCTTCTACAGGGCGAAGGTGCCGTATGAGGGGGCACGTGGTCGTCCCCCCCGCAGCCTGAGCCCGCCCCCAGCCAAACACTCAGCCTGACCTCTTTCATCCCCTTTGTTCTTCCTGCCCCTGCACCGCCCCCCACAGAGGCCAGACTTCCCCGGGCCACCGGGGAGACAGCTCTACCAACACTGAGAGCTCTCCAGGTGAGGATGACAGTGGTCACTGACCCCCCTGGATCTCCCAGGACTTCCCCCCCAACATCCCAGCAAGGCTGGGCTCCCCTTCTGCAGCAGGGGAAACCGAGCCTCAGAGCTCGGTGACCTGCGCCGGTTCCCCAGGTGAATTCACGCAGACTCCTCCCCGCACAGTCCGAGCCCCCACCCCACTGGGGAGCCCCTGCTCTCCGCATCTCTGGGGCTGGGGGGCCCACGGGGAGGCTGAGGGAGCTGCCTCTGTACCAGGGGTGCCAGCTCCGCCCCCCGCCCCCTGCCAGCAAGGGGGCGGGACCACACAGAGCCGGATACCACCTCCGAGGCCAGACCGCGGTCACACACCCAGCCCAGGCACACGGCGGCCAGTCAGCAGCAAGGGAGGTGGAGCAGATGAGGGTCCCTTTGTCACTCCCAATTCACCTCCCCCACCCCCTCCGCCTGCAGAGTCATCCGTCTTTTGTTTGCGGGGCCTGGGCAGGAAGGCGGAGGACCGGTCCCGGGCGCTAACGTGTGTGCGGGGCCTCTGTGAGGAGGGCCCGTGAAGTCAAGAAAGACACGGGCGGGAAAGGGGCAAAGAGAGACCGCATGTGAGAAAACCACACATGTGAGTGTGAGCGTGAGTGTGGGGGACGGGATGGGAGGGCGTGCTGTGTGTGTGAAGGGGTGTGTGTGTGTGTGCACGCGCATGGGTGTGGTTGTGTGGCACGTGTCCATGTGTATATGTGCGTGTCACTGTGTGGCGTGTGCGAGCAGGCCGAGCAGGGGACCGGAGACTGGGGACGCCCTCCCGTCTGTCACGGTCCGCACAGCCCGTCCTCTGAGGCTGGCGGCTGCCAGGCTCCGGGGCGGGGAGGCAAAGGGACGTGAGCGATGAGGGAACCGCCGGCATGGACGCCGCTGGGTCCCTCTGGCCCCGTCTCGGCCCTCGGTGTCCTCGGTCTGTCCTCGAGGCCGGTTCCCCGACCCCCTGGAATGGGCACAGCCTTCCTGGCTGGATTTGGGCTCAAGACGGGGAGGGGCCGGCATTCCACCGAGGCTTCTGCGGGGCCCAGGCCAGTGGCTCTGTGTGGCCCCCTCCCCTGTCCCCTGCAAGGCCCTTGGAGGGAGACTCCGAGTCCGATTTTACAGGTGCAGGACCCAGGTGCAGGGAGAGCATGGGCTCTCATGTGGACGACCAGGGCCAGGCATCCAGGCCCCCGAAGGCCAGGCCTGTTTGGGTTCCACAGCCCAACGGACCGCCAGGGGGCCAGGGCCGGTGGGGAGGTGCCAGGGCGGGGGGCAGGGACAGGCAGGAAGCGGCGGCTCAGCCGGCTGCCACTGGCCGGTTCTCGGAGCCAAGTGTGTCCACCACCAGAACCCGGTGCTGCCTCTGTCCAGGGCAGAGGTCTGGGGCCAGTCACTCCACCTACCCCGGCCTCACCTCGCCCCTCTGTGGAAGGGGACTTGAACGCATCCTTCCTCGCCCTGTCGCTGGGCAGGTTAAATGGGACACCTGCGTGGCAGCTCCTAAGAAGCCGGCCGCATACAGGCTCTCGGGTCCGGAAGGGGAGGGCAAGTCTTGGCCTCCCCTGCCTGAACACATGGGAAGGCCACAGCCTTGAGCTAAAAGCCTCTAGAAATGCAAGGTAGAGCCCTGGCTGGGTAGCTCAGGTGATTAGCACATGGTCCCGATACGCTGAGGTTGCAGGTTCAAACCCCGGTCAGGACACATACAAGAATCAACCAATGATGCATACATGAGAGGAACAACAGATGTCTCTCTCTCTGAACTCAATAAATGTTTTAAAAGTTAAAGATATGGGAAATAAAGTGCAACAGACACGGTGTCAGGTGCATGGGGACCGCCGGTCTCGGGAACCAGGGACTGCAGGTCCTAATGGCCGTGAGGCAACGTGGGCAGGGCCCCCAGGGGTGGGGGGCAGGGGGAGCTGATGCGACTGCCCCCGTAAAGCTGCGCCCCAGGAGGGCCTCGGGGGAACAGCGGGCCAGGAAAGGCCACCCGCTGGCCACGGGGAGGCAGGACGCCTCCATCAAGCAGAGGACAGCACCCCGACCTCTGACCAGGGCTGGTCCCCCAGCCAGCGAGCCCACGTGGTGGAGAGGCCCCTAGGCCAAGGGACAGACATAAAGGGGTCCCTGCTGTGCACCCACAGATTGGAGCATACACAGATCTCTATGAGGGGCACCCCCATACCACTACCCCCAAACTGGGCTGCATAGGCCTCTTCAGACCCTCACTGATGGGGAGCACGCAGCGCAAAATTACAACACCCCGAGCCCCTTAAAGAATCAGTGCAGAGAAACTAAAAACTAAATGTTTTCTAAAAGATTAAAAAGATTTTCTTCAGAGAAAAAGAAAAGGATTCTGGGCTGGGTGCGTGGAGCGGAGTCCCAGACCTGCCCTTCCCTCACGCAGAGGCAGGAGGCAGGACAGAGGGCCTGGCGCCCAGTGCAGGGGCCGCCGGGCCACACTGGGCTCACCCGGCGGGCTCCCTGGAAGGGGTGGCAACCTTGAAGCCAGGGAGGATCACGGCAAGCACGGGTGGGAGACATCCGGGCAGAGATGGCCTCACCGTGGTCACCGCTGGGACAGCACAGCCCCACCCCACCCGGCCCCGCCCCACCCGGGAGGCAGCCGAGCTGAGAACCGGGGCCCACGGCACCCAGCAACAGCCCGGCAGCCACTTCTCAAAGTTCAATGCCTCAGCAGGTTTAGACCCCTCCTTTCAAAATACCAGAAGTAATTAGACCAGATGGATGAGCTGCGTGCCAACGTCCTCCCTCCCTCCCTCCCTTCCTCCTCTTTTTGTAAAAAATCAAGACCGCTTTCAGTTAAACGAGAACAAAAAACGCATCCAAAACCCATACATGAATGCGGTATGTACACGGGATTTTTTTTTTTTTTAACACTTAGCCTTCTGTAGCAGCTGAGTTCTTCCTCTCCTGCAGTCGGCCCCGCCCCCTCCCTCTCGGCTGCTCCCGCAGAGGCTCCGAGCCCAGCCTGCACCTGAGGACCGGGAATGGCTTCCCCGAGCCCCGGAAAGTCACAGTGCGGGGGACGGTGACAGCAGAGACACACGGGCCCAACGAGGCTTCCTGGCTGGCCTGGCCTTCGGGGAACCGAAGCCAGGGGGCGGGGGTGTCTGGCCTCCAACCTGGGGGTGACGGGCAGCCCCACGCACCAGGCAGAAGCAGGAGGTGCGCCAGGAGGTTCTCCGGCCGTGAACGTCTCTGGAGAACTGGCTAAGGCCATTGCACTGCGTGGCTTCGCCCGGGGCCGCCCCACAGAGGACCCCGCTGCACGGCGCCCCCTCGCACCGATGCAGGACTGAGGCCTGCAAAGGCCAGACATGGAGGGTGAGGCAGAGCAGTGGGCACGTCCCTGGTGTGTCTGGGCCCGAGCCCTCGACTGAGGCCGCCCGGCACCTACAAGCATGGTGTCCCCTCCAGGCCTCGGGCGTGACATGGTGGGTCCCACAGGCTGATGACACAGAGGCACAGGCAGGCGAAGCTGTGGCTCACGGAGACCTCCCTCGGCCTGCCACACCCCGCCCCCGGGCCCTGTGCCACCCCAGCTCCCACAGCTGCTGCTCCGCAGCTCTCACAGACCCAAGGAGGTGGCTGCCGAAGCCTCTGCAACCACCCCCTGGAGAGGGCACTGTCACTTCCACACTGCGGGAGAGGAAACTGAGGCACAGAGAGGTTAAGTGACTTGCCCGGGGTCACACAGCCCTTAAGAGGGGAGGCCAAGACTTGAGCCGAGGACGTTTGGGTCCAAATCCATGCTGTTAACCTCCACAGAGGATAACTTTTCAGATGGTGGTGGGGGGTGGTTATGTATGTGGGGGCTGGGTGTCAGGGAGGCTGGTTACTGGAGACCACGGGGCAGGAAACCCAGGCCAGACACCCTGGTCTGGGACCTAAGGCCCCCGCTCACCCACTTCCTCGCTCGCACCTCGAACCCCAGACCTTCCCGCAGGCTCAGCTCCCCTCCAGGCCTTCCTCACGCACTGGCACTCCTAGAATGCTCTCCTGGCTCCCGGACCCCGCCCCCCCCCACCCCCCCCCCCCGCCCCAAGGCCTGGGCTCTGCCAGCCTGCTAGGCGGCAGGGAGGGTTCACAGAGGCCCTGTACGTGGTGAGGACTCCGGCGAACAGCAGGCGCCTCCTGGTGCTCAGGAGAGGCTGGACGGGACGGCACGGCACGCCCCCCACCTCACCCCACCCTCCACGGGAGGCCTCAGTGGCACAGGGCCAGTCCTCAACACACCCGCATGCAGCCTCTGAGGGTCAGTTTGCAGCGTCGCCTAGGGCAGCACAGGGCCTCCCTGAGGCCCCCACACCCTGCCGGGCCCCGCGCCCTCCCGAATGCCCCTCAACGCCCCCGTATGTGCTGCCCCAGCTGAAGGCGCCATCTCGGCCCCGCCACCCACCCTCCAGGCCCCTTCCCTTCCTTCACGGCTCAGGTGGCCCCACCTCTCCCGGGAGCACCCGTGGTCTGTCCCTGCTGCGTAGGGCGCCCTCCGCACCCTGCAGCGCTTGCCACCCCGTGACTACGGCCAGCTGGGCCTCCGAGGGCCAGTTGCCCTCTCGGGGCTGAGGAAGGATCGGAGACGGTGGTTTGCTGCCACCACCACCGCCGTCATCACCATCTTCATCATCATCGTCATCGTCATCACCACCATCATGGTCATACCCTTCATCATCACCCTCATCATCACCTTCATCATCGTCATCATTGTCACCATCATCACCATCTTCATCATTGTCCCCACCATCACCACCATCATCATCACCTGGGCTCCCATGGACACACTGACCGTCATTCACACCTTGACCCCACCAGCCAGGTGAGCTCAAGGATGAGACCTGGTCAGTCTGTGTCCTCAGCAGACCACGCCGTGCACCTGTGATTGACACCCGGCCCCGCCCCCTGCACGCTCGGCCTCGGCTCCCGGCGTGCCCCGCGCTCCGCCAGGCCCCGACGGCGCAGGCGCACTCACCACGGGGAGCCGTAGATGCGGAAGCCCCGCACGGTCACCTCCGAGTCCTGCAGGTAGATGCAGTTGGTCAGCAGCGACTGCACGTTCTCGTAGTTCTCCGGCTTCAGCTTCGACACGGACGGGAAGTAGTAGAAGTCCTGCTTGATGAGGTCGGCCATGAACTCCTGGTCGAAGGTCAGCTCGTGGTTGCCGGCGACGACGATCTTGTACTCGTAGGGCAGGCTGCCTGCGGGCGGGCACAGAGACACAGCGCGCCGCTGGGGGCCCGCCCGCGGGCCTGCTCTGTTCGGCACAGCCTGCGAGGGCTTTCACGCTTGAGCTCGTTGCCAGCGTAAACAACTCAGGAGATTCCCAATCAAATGTCATTCTATTTTCTAATAATCAATCAACGTTAAACTCTGATGACCCTGGCCCAGTCACGGGCTGAGGGGCGGTGTCTCCCCCCAGACAGCAGTGAGCCCCAGTCCCCACCCGGCCCACGTCGCTGACTGCAAGGTGTCGCCCTCCCTGCAGGGGCAGCGGCCCCTAGAGACATCGAGGGCACACCCCCGGCTGCTGCCCCCAGGGGCCTCCACGCAGGTGATGGGGACGCTTCCTGGCCCCTCCCTCCTCCCCACCTTGCCCACCGCCCAGGGCAGCTGAGCAGTCGGCTGGTTCCCCGAGCGGGCAGCTCCAGCAGCCCGGGAGCAGACCTGTTGGCTTCAGCCATCCCGGTCCCCACACCCCAGGGTGACACAGTGCAGGGGACCCACTGATGGCCACGCACACACTGCCATCGGGGAGGGAGGAGGGGGCCCTGGGCCCGAGCGGCTGGGGAAACAGGCCCCGGGGCCAGGCACCTGCCCGGGCCCATGACAGGTGAGCGGCAAGGCGATGCCGCATGTCAGCCCAGGTGACCCCACACACGCGGGTGAGCAGTTCGGACTGGAAGGCCAGCAGGCCAGAGCCGGGGGGCGGGGGGCACCCCTCACGGAACCCCTCGCCACACCGCCGACTGCCCACAGGCCCCGATTGTTCCCACTTCCCGGCACCCACCCGGCCCGCCCTGAGCGCCACCCCCGGCTGGGGACACTGGAGCTGCACTGATGCATTTATGTCACCTCCCGGACCGGGGACCTTACTTAAGCAAATTAGGAAATTACTCCAACTGAACAGCGTCATTATTTCCGCCGCTCCCACCTATCGGGGACCAGGGAGGGCGCAGGAAGCTGTCAGCCGTCTCTGTCCTTCTCACCTCCGCGGAGGAGGGTACCTGAGGTTCTCGCCCCGCCCAGGGCGGAGGGGATGGGGGCGGGCAAGGCTTCTGCACATGGAGCCCGGGGGGTGGGGGCAGGAGCCACAGTACACGCACAGGACGCCCTCCAATACCGCCGCTCTCTCCCAGACAGGCGAGGGTGCCCCAGCCTGGAGGCAGGAGACTTGCCTGTTGACGACCCCTTTCTGAGCCGGAGGTCCAGCCACAGACACGTCCGTCCAGATGTCCACCTGGACTTGGCGACTCACCCGCTGGGTGTCACGTTCACAGACACCTAAGGATTACTGTCCCCCTTTCGTGTCTGGGAGCAACAAGGCTCAGAGCAGTGGCCTGAGGTCACACAAATCCAACCACAGAGGGCAAAGGACGTTCCGTAATCTCTGTGGCTTGGCCTCCTCACACTCGTCGTGGCGTGGCCACCAGTGGGCCGATGGATGGGGGCGGGTGGTGACGAGTGGACGCCGCATGGATGGAAGGTGGACGGACAAATGGGCGGATGCATGGAGGATGGCTGGATAGATGGGTGGGTGGGTGATGGACGGATGGAAGGAATGTGAGCGGATGGAGAAACTGATGGACAGAGGCGTATGGATCGTGGATGGATGAATGAGTGGAGAGAGAGATAGGTGCATTTGTAAGTCAATCAACCCAGACAGCCCTGCCTCCTTCATGCCGACCCATCTCTGTCTCCCTGGACTCGACCCCTCTCTCCAGCCGCCCTGGCAGGGCGCTTTCAGACCCGCCTCCCTCGTCCGTGACCCTGACCTTCCAGCCCATCTCTGAGTCTTCCCAGCCGGGCCAGCTCTCTGGCAGGTGGGGGCAGGGGAGCCAGAGCCCAGGCTCAGGGGCGGCCTGGCCGTCACAGGGCAGGGCTGCTGCCTCTGCCCTCATGGCCCTGGGTGGCATGGGCCTCTGGGGGCTCCCGCCACCCAGCAGCCTGACTGTGGGTAAATGGCCACGACACATCGCCCCAGGCCCCTCACTCAGCTTTGGCTCCCCCCAGCATCTGGGCGGTGAGCTCGGCAGTGTTGGGGACCGCAGTGACCGGCGGCTCCGTGGGTGGGAACGTGAGGTGGACACAAGTCCCTCCGCCAGAGGTCTGCACGCAGGGGAGGTCGCTGTCCCCTCTGCCCCTCCTTGCTGCCGTCCTTCAGCGAGTGCCCGGGCCCGACGACAGGCCGGGGCGCCTGAGCTTGGGGGAGGTGTCCCCCAGGCCGGCGGGAAAGGAGGAGGCAGTGTGGACCCTGCAGACGAGGAGGTGCTGCCGCTCCGTGGACCCGGGACGTGCCAACGTGGGGAGACCAGAAGAAAGACAGCCTGTCTGAGGGGACCCCAAAGCTGGACACTGCGGGCGGCAGCTCCGGGGTCTGGGCGGCCGTGCTGGCTTGGTGGGATTCGGGGAGGGGTCCAAGCACCTCTTCTCACCCCCCTCCCCTCATCAGCCCAGCAGAGGCCCAGGAGGCACCGCCTGTCCCCAAATCCCACCAAGCCAGAGACTCGCCTCCCGCCCTGAAGCCTCGCCCGGTTGTAGAGCCCCTGCACCCCGCCTGCACCCACCCTGGTCGGCTGCCCACATGCTGTGGCGGGGCAGCCCCCTGCTCAGGCCCTGGGCGAGGTGCCGGCGGGGACACACCGATAACCAAGACGCCGTCATGAGGTCGGCACCAAGCGACCCGAGGAGGTTCCCGTCCACACCACTCACTGGGCAGAGGAACCCAGAGAGGGGAGGGGGCTTGCTGAGGTCACACAGCAAGACACTGGAGAGCAGGGACTTGAACCCTGGCCTCTCGCCGCAGGAGCGCTGAGCAGCAGCCAGCGAGCTGGGGGCTGGAGAAGGTAGGAGGACGTTCGGGCAGCCTGGTGCGGCAACTTGAGAGACAGGTTAGTGCTGGCCAGGGGGGCCTTGCTGGGGGGGACAGGACGCAGATCTCCCAACCCTGGATCTGCGAGGAAGCCGGCCCAGCCTCCCGCTGCTGTCCGGGACTGGGGCGGGGGCAGGGGGGCGGGGCGCTGCTGTGCACTTGTGGTCCGCGTGATGATGATCAGGCCGTCTTCCCAAACAGCGTCCTCTCTTCTCAGCCCGATTATCTGAGAGCGGGGCACCTGCCAGCCGTGCGTTCCTCGGTGCTGACGCGGTAGTAGCCACACAGCGCCAGGGGGTGACCACGGCTTCCCACCCGCATGCACACTCCACGCCGAGCGCACGCCCATGGAGGCCCCACGCGGCAGAGAGTGCGCGGGGCACACGGGGCACGCAGAGGGACACGCACAGAAACCTCTGCTACTCGCGCTTCCCAGACTAAGCTCCCTGCGAAAGCACCCACCCGCCCCACTGAACAGGGAGCGCTGCCTCCACCCTCATCGCCTGTTACGTCCGTCCGATGGGACAGGCACCAGCGCCTCGACAATCTGTGCCGCTGCCGAGTGCGCGCCGAGCCCGGTGGTGGAGTGGCGGCGTCCTCTAAATGCGGGGACGATCAGGAAAATGCCCACTTACGGCTGCTTCCGCGGGCGGCACAAAGAGACGGCATAACGAGCCCTGATTGCCTTTTGAGCGCGTCTCTGACGGCTCCATCCCAACACCTGCCAGCGTCTGGGAGGCTCCAGCAGCAGGCGTCCTGGGTGGCGTGTGGTCTGGAGTCACGTGGGGACGGCACCAGGGCCACGGCTCTGCTCCAGCCACCCTGGTTGGGTCTTGGAGCGGGTAGGGCGCACAGATGCCCAGGAGGGAGTCCCACATGGGGGGGACACAGGTCGGGGAGGCCAACAGAGAGAGGGTTCTGTGTGTGGCCTGGACAGGAGGGAGAGACCTGAGGCCAGGGCCGCCGATGCCCGATGGCCGGGGCTGGGTGACGGGAACACGGGGCCAGGGCGGGGCCTGCGGAATCTGCTTGTCACCGCTCTGCCCAGGGCAGGAGCCGGGGCTGGGTGTCGTGACAAGTGGTTTGCACCTGGTGCTTCCAGACACCTGTGGGGAGAAGGGCCGCTGACCCCGCCCCCGGAGGAGGGGCCGAGCCAGAGCAGTCGGGGGCATGTGCGTAGAGCCCGGCTCCCCCTCTGCCGCCTCCCGTGCCCGGGGGTGACAGCTCCACTTCTGAGCCTCACGGCCCCGCCTGGACACCAGGACGCTGAGGGCTCTTCACAGGGTTCTCGCCAGGACCGCACTAGGGGGAGACGTCCGTGGGGAGGCCCTGTGTGGCACACACACTGCAGACAGGGAATGGCAGGCACAGGGGGGACGTTCACGCCCACGGGTGTCTGGAAACAGGAGGCAGGCAGGGCCGCCCGGGAAGCCCCTCCAGACTGGGGGCGGAGGGAGCGACAGGAAAATGTGGGCCAGAGCCTGGGTGGCGGTGGGAGCCCAGGCGAGCAGGTTTGGGACGGCTGGAGCTGGATTGAATCGCGTTGACGGGCTGGGGGCGGAGCACAGGGGCTGTCCGTGGTTGCCTGGGCCCTGGCACCAGGGTGACTAGAGCGGGGTGGGGGCTGGGAATGGTAGCCCAGGAGTGCGAGCCCCAGGGGGTGGGCGGTGCTCCAGACTGGTGGGCTGGCTTAGCGAAGGTGGGGTGCTCCGAGGGGAGCCCGGCACCATCTCCAGCATGGGCTAACCAGGGAAGGCAGTCCGGTCCGGTCCCTTCAGCACCCACAAGGCCCCAGATGCCAGAGCATCAGCACAGGGAAATGACAGGCATGGGCGTTAGCCACTGCCACTGCCTGCAGGCTGTCAGGGGGAGAGAGGCTGTGCTCTGCCCCTGGAGTGTTGGCTGGGAAGGTGGGGGTGGCACAGAGGCATTGGAAGGTCACCTGTCTGGGGTCACACAGCAGCTCCTGGAGTCTAGGTCCCTGCCCAGAGCTGGGTGTCCAGACAACAGACCCAGCCTGTAGTGGCAGACCTGCCCCCCCAGCAGAGGGTGCTCAGCCCCACCACTCAGCGCCCCAGTCCACCGGTCCTGTGGGACTCCTGGATTCTG